CGGCGGGTGGGAGGGGACGCATGGGTACACTTCTCCCTATTCCCTGACACCTGCCCTGAGCTGGCCGCCACGGGCACTGGCTCTGCCACTGCCGTGCCCGTCCACACACAAAACCGCCACAAGCTGCGGCCTCCAGGAAGGCCCACAGCTTTGAGATCCGGGTACTTCCCAAAGGGTCCTCGCCAGACTCCGTTTGTAAGCGACACAAAGGGACTGTCCGGTGACGGGGCGAGCGGGTGGAACCACACGCGACCCCGTAGCAGGCAAAGCGGACCCCCCAGCTGGAAGGCAGAGGCGGCCCCCTAGGTGTGACTCGGGCCCGAGGGGACACAGACCCGCCTCCCGCCCCAGTGTGACCCGAGGGGACGCAGACCTCCGGGCCCCTCCCGCCCCAGTGTGACCCGAGGGGACACAGACCCGTCTCCCGCCCCAGTGTGACCCGAGGGGACGCAGACGGGCTGTGGCACCTTCGCTGTTCCAGAACAGCGTGGTCTCTGCGGCCTGTAGCTTGACGTCGATGGCTGACAGCTCCGACTCTATGAGCGGGAACTCCACGTCCGTCACCGTGGTGGTGATCTGCGGAACAAGTGACGGCTTCAGGGCCTTGGTCCCGGACCCGGCCAGGCTTAACGTCGCGTGGTAAGGATTTTTGTTACTCGGTCCCCACCAGGCCCATCGCCGTCAGTGTTACTCGACTGGGAATTGCAGGCAAATCAAATTTGGGGAGGTCTCCACTTTCAAAATTATTTCCATCACCAAGGATTTACATATATATTTACCTCTTAATTACCCAAGCAATGAGGTAGAAAGAAAAGAAACTCTGGTAATTCAAAAAAACGGGGTATGTAATCCAAAGCTTTTAAATTCGGCTCAGCAACAGACGCGGTGTGTTTGACAGACCTACGTGCTGGCGTCAGCTGCGCGCCTCACCCCGCCTCTGGCTCTGCCAGCCCGTCACGAGGCAGGGGGCCTCCCCGGGGACCCCGAGGCCTCGCTCTTAACCTTTTGGTTTTCTGGCCTCTTAGCATCTGAGATGGGTGTCGCGTTCCTAGGTTGGTCAAATACATGACTTTTTCTGGCCACCATCCCCTACGACAGGCGTCTGTTGTAGGGAGCAAGTCATGGGGAGCAGAGACGCCCTTTGGGTTCACGACATGACTCCTGCTCAGTCTTTCTGGCACAGGAGGAAGGGGTGGGGCATGGCCACGCGCCAGCCCAGCCAGCAGCAACCCAGACGGAGCTCCACAGGGGCTGGGCACGGCAGGACAGGAAGCGGAACGGGCTCCCTCTCTGCGTCCCGGGTAGAACTGGGCATTCGGTCCAGGGCCCCTACAGCAGGGGTCCCCAACCCCTGGGCCGTGGACCCATACGGGTCTGTGGCCTGTTAGGAACTGGGCCGCCCAGCAGGAGGTGAGCGGCGGGTGAGCAGTGAAGCTTCGTCTGTGTCTGCAGCCGCCCCCCAGCGCCGGCATCACCGCCTCAGCCCCGCCTCGGAGCAGCAGATGTTACATTCTCACAGGAGCACTGTCCCTGGTGCCCAAAAGGTTGGGAACTGCTGCCCTATAGGACAGGCCAGGGAAGGCGTCAGAGGCTCTGGGAGACGGGCCTTCAGGTCAGGAAGCGTGAGAGCATAAGCATCTCTTGGACAGAGAGAGACGGAAAATACAGGAAGAAAAATATTCCAGGTCCCTGACAGCTGTTCCAGTTGGGGACAAGGAGGCTGCGAGAAACATGAACCCACTTGAGTGAGCGGGAGTCACATGAGCTGGCGCTGAAAGGGGGAGCCACACAGGCGCCGATGCGTCCGGGACCGGACCCGCAAAGGCCCCATCCAGGCTCCCGCTCAGCCCGTCGTGACCTCTCTGCCGTCTGTGCCATGTCTCTGGCCCCTCCTGCTCGCTCTCCATCCCTCTGCTCCCCTGTGACTCCGGTGTCACAGCGGCTGGGACCTGACTGCGAACTCCTGGGATCCCGAGGAGAAGTGCCTTGTCGGCCCGTTGGGGATCAGTGTGAGCAGTAAGCCAAACGGCTCCCCACAGATGCCCAAGGCCCGTGATGATGTCACTTTTCATGGCCAGAGAGAACTTGCAGACGCGGTCAAGCTAATGACCTTGACCTGGGAGTTTAGACTGGTCATCTGGGTGGGCCCAGGGCCGTCACGGGGTCTCTTATAAGTGGGCCGACAAGGAGATCAAAAGAGAAGGCGTGAATGGCAGGAAGCAGGGCTTGGAGTGACTTGACTGTCGGTGGAGTGACGTGGCCACGGGCCGGGGGTGTGGGCGGCCTTCGGAAGGCGGACGAGGCGGGGGACAGATTCACCCGGAGCCTCCAGAAGGCAGCGGCCCCGCCGACACCCTGACTTTATCGGGAGGAAACAGACTTGGGACGTCTGTTTGGCCTCCAGAACTAGGAGAGAATAAAACTATCGTTTGAAGCCGCTCAGGGCGTGGTCATTCGTTACAGCAGCCACAGGACACTCTGACACTGTCCACGTCTGACCCAGTCTGGGGCAGGAGTGGAGGTCACGTGGTGCACATGGCAGCCTCTTCTGGGACCTGTGGGTGGGGTCGGCCCGAAAGGGGCTGCCAGAGCTGCCCTCTGCACCCCAACTCCACGCTCTGATTACTGATTCAGCTGCCAGGGGTTCTCGTGCCAGGAGGGGGCGCTCTGAACAAACAGCCCTCTTGCGGGAAGGGCCTGTCCCCTAAGGCTAGTAAGTGACTGGGAATCCTTACTGGTAGGTACTCGACCCGCTTCTGATCACTCATCAGGTCCCAGATCCGAGAGACGTCAGGCGTCAAGACCGAAAAGGAATTCCTGAGCCGTGGAGCTAGGGGCGACCCTGCTCGCTCCCAGGCCCCTCTCTGGTTTATCTCGGGGGGCAGCACCCTGGCGCTCGGCTTCCTCACCCCGCACCGCCTGGAAATTCGTAACCCCGTCGGATTCCAGCCCCTCCCCCCACGTTGGTGGCAGTAACGGGAGTGATCTTGAGTGACCGATGTTACCCAAAGCCAAAGGCACTTAGGAGCGCAAAGCATCTACGACAGTCACGTAACGTGAGGCAAAGTCCAGCGGCGACAGGGCCTCCACCGCTGGCCGTCCGCGCCCCCACCTTCGCGCGGCCGTGTGTGTGCACAGTGGAGGGGGTGGGGGCGGGGGCGCAGTGCACTCGGCCATGAACACGACTCTTTACTCTTCCCCACTCGGAGACCTCACGCCCGCGCATGGTCAAAAGACAAAACTCGAAGGAGGAGGCAGAGCCGCAGCAGCTCACCTCGTTGTACCAGCCGACGACGAGCTCCAAGTTGCCCACGAACTTGCGGAAGGTCTCGTGCTTAGAGAACAGGCTCTCGGCGCTGTCAGGGATCCCCTTTTGTTGCTGGAAGTTCAAGTACTTGACCTCTCTCAGGACTGCCACCAACTAAGGCAGAGGGAGAGCACAGAGGTAATCGGGGGGTGGCCTCGATTCCCAATGCAGGGGAGGGTCCGTCCCTGATGCTTTTGCAGCCTGGGGGCTTCAAAGTTGGGGGGGCAGATGTGGGGATGCTGCTGGCAGGATCAGGACGTCTTTGCCCCATTTTCTGGTCCCAGACGGAAAGCGCTGGCATTGCCAGTGCGGGTGGACATCAGCGGCTCCCCCAGGTCATCTGGAGAAAGGCCAGGGCGTCACCCGGCTCCGCCCGAGGACGTGACCTTCCCTGTCCCTCTCGTCCCTGCTCGCCGAAGGCCACTCTCACTGAGGTCGCGATCTCCTTGGCGTTGCTATCATGTCACAGACCTCACGTCACGTGACCTCTCGCAGTTGGCCACTCCCGCCTCCCGGCCACCGCTGTCTGTCTCTTTTGCTGTTTTCAGGATTTGCATGTTGGAAGCCACAGAGCGTGGACCCTCTGGCCTGTCCGACTTGGCGATCTCACCCAAGGTCACGGCTTTAACGACCTGCCTACGTGGTGACTCTCACATCTATGTCCCAACCCAGACCTCTCTCCTGACCCTGGACGCCTATGTCCACCCTGCCTACTCGGCATCTCCGTCTTCATGTCTAGTTGACGTCTCAAACTCAACGTGGCCGAAACGGCACAGTCGGTGTCCCAAGCAGCCGCCTCGGCTGATACAACCCTGCGCTTACGGTCACCTGCCCTGTCCCCAGACACTGGGGCGGACCCCTGTCGGCCTCACAGACTCCATTTCCAGCCTGTCCGCATCTCGTGGGCTCTGTGATCAAAATCCGATCACCCCTCATGTCGTCACGGTGACCTCGCTGGCCCGGACACCACCCTCTCATCGCCTCTCCTGGATTCCAGCAAAAGGGTCCTAACAGGTGTCCCTGCTCCTCACCTTGCCCCCACCCAACTACCTGCCACACAGCACCCAGAGGGGTCCTCGAAAAATACAAGTCGGATCAGGGGCGGCCTCTGCGATGGCTGCCACGCCACCCCGAACCGAAGCCCAGCGCCTCTGACGGCCCGCGGCCCTCAGCACTGTCCTCTGCCACCTCCCCCCTCCCGCTCCGCCTGCCCGCTCGGCCCACGCGGCCCCCGGAACAGCCAGGCGCACTGGCCGACGGCCGCAGGCTGGCTCCTGGGTCCGCTGCCGGCGCTGCGTCTCCACCTCACACCGCCCCTTCCTCCAGCTCCAGGAACCGCCTTCGCCTGCCCCCCCGGGTCCTCGGGGTACCCACGGTCACCCCTCTGTGACGCTGGCCGACCGGTCCCTCAGTGGTGGGAGGACAGGGTCTCTGTCTGGCTGGCTCACTGAACTACCCCGACCGCCACGGCGCCCAGGGCCCGGGAGGCCTCCGCTCCGGCCGCCTGCCGGACACACCTACCGCCTTGCTGAAGTTGACGCGGATGAGTTTGGTGACGTGGTCCCTCTGGATCAGGGGCTGCCCCAGGTTGAAGTGGCAGTCCTGGTCCACTCCGGCCACCCAGTCCTGGAAGGTCTTCTCACGGGAACCTCTCAGCAGCGCCATCATCTCATCGTATTTCTGGTAGATGAGCTTGGCCTCCGTGCTGGACATGACCCTGGGAGCAGAGCGAGGCGGCGTGGTGAGGCCCGGGCCGCACGTGCGTCTCTCTCCTGGGGCCTCTTCGGCGCCCCGACTGCGGCCGCCGGACCTCAGGATGCTGCAGCAGACGGCGGCTTTCTGCCTCTTCCAGGCCGAGTGACTGAATCCACGGACAGACTTGGGCCCTCGCCCTTCAGCAGCCCGTGCAGGAAGCCGAGCAACAACCCGTGGGGCCCTGGCCCCAAATACCAGCCCCGGACTGAAAACCGCCAGCTGCCCGAGCCGCTGCCCACCCCGCCAAGGCGGGACCGGCTGGAGAAAGCCGAAGGCGCTCCCCGAGGCCATCACGCGGGCAGTTGTCCTCTAGTGCCCGGTGGTCGGGGCACAGCTGAGCCTCCCCGGCATCTGCCGGAAGCCCTCCTGCCCCCGCCTGCCTTCCGGTCCCTGCCGCGGCAAGCTGTGAGTGAACGGCCTGCGCGCATCCCCAGCTGGGTGGGCTCCGTTAGTTCCCTCTGGCTGGCCGGCAAGCAGGGGTGGGGCACGAGCCACGTTTTTCCTGGCCACACGCGCTGACAGCCACGTGGAGGCGGATGGGGATGCGCTGGTCCCTCTGGCGTTGTGTCGGGAAGTTAAGGCTCGGCCCGTGCGGAGCGTGGCCAGAGCCCCCCACCCCCGCAGCCAGGCGCCCGGACTCACGGGTGGTCTATGCGCTTCAAGTCCTTCATGGGCGTCTCCAGCCGCTCCTGCAGCTCTAGGCTCCACTTCAGCTGCCCGGCCACGGGGGGCATGTTTTTGTGAATTGGGGGGATATTGCCATCTGCAGAGGCCGCGATCTGGGTATCGTACAAGATCTTGGTGTTATCCAGCTCGGCGTCGAACAGCTCCAGCATGACGGAGTACCTGGGCACAACCTCGGCGAGAATCAGAGGCCGCTCCAGGAGGCCCCCGCACATGTACAGGAGCTGGGGAGAAACGAGAAGGGCCTTCGCGGGGGTCCCCCCTCCCGAGCCCCAACCCTGAGCAGACCCACACCAGCTCCGCGGCTGTCGACGCAAACAAGGCTCACAGCCGAGCTTCGGGAGGGAGAACACACGCGCCCTGTCGGGACAAAGAGCCCACGTCACGGCTGGTTACACGGAGGCCCCGTGCCTCTCGCGTGCCAATATTCCTGGCTTACAAACCAACAGCACAAACTGGGTCCAGGTTCTGAAGAAACTTATTCTGGGCCCAGGAGAAATCAGGGTTTAGGCGAGGAAGATTTGAACAGTTAAAAAATACTATTTAGAACATTTAAAAATCGCCGTGATGCTGCATCGACGTAGCCAGCCCTTATCCGACAACTGGACAGAGAACCGTTTTGAGTGCCAAGAATTTGTCCTCCTGGGGAGAGCAGTGACCCTCCAGGACGCGCTCGGGCAAGGACATCACCATCGGAGTGTTTGTTTTGCTCTAAAGAAGAAAAACGAAAGCTGTGGGGTAAAGGGGACCAGGGGCGAAGGGAGCCAGACAGAGGGGGGCTCATCTCACAGCATGCGGGGTCCTCGGAGCACGAAACTCACTCACCGCTGTGTGCGAGCAGAGACCTGCGCTACCGAACACCACAGAGGGCGGCTTCAATGGTGGCAACGTGTCCTCTCTCAGTCTGGAGGCCAGAAGCCCGCAATCAAGGCGCCGGCAGCGCCACCTGCCCTCTAAGGGCTGGGGGGTTGGGGGGGGCAGGGGAGGGGGTCTGTGCCAGGCCCCTCCCCTAGCAGCTCGGGGCTGTCGGACCCATCACGCCCCGCTCCGCCTCAGTGGTCAGTGCTTTTCTCCCCGTCATGCGTCTGTGTTCGTGCCTCTCCTCCTATAAGGACCCCGAACGCTGGGTTAGGGCCCACGCTGCCACAGGAGGTCCTCGTCTTAACCTGCATCCCAATCGCGTCTCAAAGATCCCAGTCCCGGAGAAGGTCACGTTCCCAGGCACCAGGGCCACAGGCACAGACTCAGAGCGTTCGGGAGGGTGCGGTTTATCCCACTGACAAAGGCGGCGTTTCGGTCCTGGGCCGACCAGGACAGGGGTGCGGTGGGGACGGGGCCCAGACGACGTGGCGGATGCTGGGAACACTGCGGGGGACTCGGCCCTCAAGGACCTGAGGAAATTACAGGGGAACCTTGGCTGTGACACTGGGGGGTTCAAGTCCAGGTTACCTAAGTCCCCACGGAGCAGGGACAGCCTGGGTCCCTTTCACGTGTCCTTTCCATGAGAGGAAAGGCTGGCTGGGCCCGCAGACCGGTCACCTGGAGGGAGGGCCGTCACAAGCCCCCATAACCTACGCACGATAAACACTGGGACTTGTCTGAAAAGGAAAAGCTTAGAGAAGAGAATGACACCCCTGGATGTTTCGGTTGGGACCCCAGCTTCTGGCTCAAACCGGATGGAGGCGGGGCATGACTTAAAGACAGGGGTGGGCGGCCCGGCTGCAGGACAGCCTGAGGCCGGGGGGTGATGGACGGGCCCTGCCGGAGCAGCAGACCGGACTGTGGGATGCGCAGCTCCAGGGAAGAGGCGGAAGCTCTGCATCCCAGGGGCCCCCCCGTCCCGCCTCCCGCGGGGCTCCCGTGGGGCCGAGCCAGCGGAGTGACCACACACAGGACCGGCCCGCAGGCCAACGGGGATTCGTCACTGCCCAGACTGCCCTGTCACATTTTCTCTGGGACACATGGCCGCCTGGAGGGTCGGACCTGAAGCTCAGATTTGCCCCAGTTTTTACTTTGAAAAATGTGACCATTGTTCTCAAAAATGGCCTTTTGGGAAAAGAGTGAAAGATGGTGGCAGAGAGAGATTTTCAAGTCCCAAAGAGCCGGAGGGAGCAGCCGCTGACCCTCTGATGGTCTGTCCAGCTCCGTTCTTCCCCGCAGGAAGCCAGCCGCGTACTAGGTCACCAGTGTCATTTTTCTAAAAAAAGTTGCCATGTGACAGTTGGAAGAAAAAAGTTCCTCCTGCTAATTTCATGACCCTCCTGACTTTATTCCCTCCCCCTTCCTCTTCCCTTCTTTTCCTATTTACTTTTTTTTTTTTTTGGTTTCTGGCCTCTGAAAAGGAAGCTAATTTTATTCTCTGCCAGGAGATCACGTGGAAAATTGCTCTAGAACCTTCCTGGCTGTGTACGAATTACCTGCAGTGAGAAACGGCTTTGAGGCAGCTTGGGAACAGACAGGGAATGGAGGGGAGGTGGGGGGAGAACCCCAGGGGGAATTAGAACCCCTAATTGGAGCAGCGGGCTGTCGATCGTCCTTCGGTAAGGAAGGCGAGCTGACGGACGCGGACTGCAAGAGCCGCTCTCGTCCTCATTGTCCTTGTTGTCTTGTTCATCGGGCAGAATCACGGAGCTAACGTTCGCCAAGCCACTTTTCCCCTCGGGGGACGGAAGCGGGATTTAGCCCATCACAGGGGAGAGGTGGACCCCGTGTGGTTGGAGGTTTGAGTTCGTAGTGGGGCGGGCGGCATGAGTTTCCTCCTAGATCACCTCCTGCCCGCGGAGCGGGGACCTCGAGCTCCGGACCCCAAGGGGACAGGCGAGGGCGTCACGTCCCAGCCCAACTCTTCCCTGCCCCACCCTGCCCATAGGGGGATGGCGCAGGGGAGAGGCGCTACCTGCCTGGCACGTCAGTGACTTTTGGGGACCCTGTCATAGGGGTGCATATTAAAGGACAGGCTGGAAGCCCCTGAACTTGGGCGACATTTGGGGTCCCCGCCGCCACTTGCCCCCCTCGCTGGAGCTGGCTCCCTGCCCAGCGAGAGCTCAGAAGCACCTGCTGTGTGGCGGGCTCGGCGCTGATGGAGCCCAAATCCGGCGCCTGCCCGCGGGGAGCTGACGATTTCGCTGGGAGGACAATGGACACCGAGGTCAATACCACAGAGGTCTGAGCGCTCAGGAGAGAACTGGGCAGGCCGGCTTGGGGGCAGGGGAATGAGCCCCTCTTAAAAGGTGGCCCGAGGCAGCTGGCGTGTGGGGCGGGGGCTGTGCTAATTTGCATGCCTTGCTATTTGCCTGAGCACCAAGTCGACCCAAATTCCCAGGCATTTCCACTTTAAGAATGTCCAAAAGGCAAAGAACAGCGAGCATTGCTCTGGAAAGGTCTTTGTGCTCAGGGGCAGCAGGCCCCCTGGCCTCCAGCTCAGCCCCTGGAACCCCAAGGGGCCCTGGCAGCAGTGAAGCACAGGGCCGGGCCGGGGTCCCAGGTGTGGGATCTGCCGGCTGGCCGAGTGACCTCGGGGGGGTTCAGAGAAATGGGGGTGACTGGGGTGATGAAGTGTTCTTGAATTGACAGTGGCTGGATGCATGACTGTGAACACACGAAAAGCCATTTAAATGTGTGCTTTAAACAGGTGGATTGCATGGTATTCAGCGAATTCTATGACAAAAGCACCACGTGAGCCCGAAGTCACCGCATGGCGGTCCCTGTGGCTCTGATGGATGGGTCTAAGTGCTCGGGGCCAAGTTCTCCGGTGAGACTCCAACGCCTGAGAAGCTCAGGAAAATCCAATCCCCCCCCTAACTCTGAGCTCTGCTGTTTTGCGTGGTGCGTGTGTGCGTCTGTGTGTGCGTGTGTGCGTACATGTGTGTGCAAATTTACTCTGTTCGTTACGTTTTTCCGAGTTTGTAATTTTAGTCTGTTAGATTTCCCGAGTTTATAATTTAAGTTAGTCTGTTCATTATGTTTTTGCGAGTTTATAATTTATGAGTCTGTTCGTCAATGTTTCCGAGTTCATAACTAAGTTAGCCGCCTTCCCTTGTGATTTCTTATGGCAGCAGAAAAGCCATGCGGGCCGACACCACGAAACGCGCCGTCGGGCGCAGGCAGTTCTCAGTCACGTGTTTTTGGCGCCTCCTGACTGCTCAGCGAGGGTCCCAGTCTGCCTGGGGCAGAAGGGGTCTCTGAAATGACAGCCCTGGGAACACCGGGGCGGGGCCGGCCACCCCGGGTGACAGGTGTGCCCACGAGGAGAGGGTGCGCTCAGCATTTCGCCCCCCTGGGCTGCGAGACAGAGGGTCTGCGTGTTGGTGCTGAAGGGGACCGGGCGCCTCCGTGCCCCCAACACGCCACTGCTCGGGGATCCCCGGGTGGGGCGCACCCATCAGCGGTGGGGACGAGGGTTCCTAGCTCTAAGCGACGCGATGGGTGACGGCGGGACCGTGCTGTTTTAACCAGCTCCTTTTTGATTATTCGCGAGGGCAGACTTGAAACGCGTGGATCAGCCTTTCATGCTTCTCTATCGAATTGACATGCTCCAGGGCTTTCTGTGCTTCTCTCTGATCTATTTTTTAAAATCTTTTTTCCAAAGCATCGTTTCTTTTTCCTGGCTATAAAAGTACCACACGCTCAGGGCACACGACTTGGCAATCGTAGCAAAGAGCAACGCGTATCAGCCGTCGCCCCACCGCCCAGGGACGGCGGCCGTGCGCCTCCGCGGTGGCTTCCTGAGAACGTGTGAATTCGGCGCAGCAGATCGAAATGCACGTGTGTTTTATTTTTATAGCAGCTTCGCCTCTCCCTAACTTTCGCTCCTTGTACGTAGAGGGGGAGCTGAATCGGGTAAGGATAAATGGACAGCTTCGCCCCACGAGCACGATGAGAATCAACGACTGTCGCCTCAGGCTCACCTTCTTCTCTTACTCTAAGACGCGGCGGGAAAACCGTCAGGAGCCCCTCGGGGTGTTTGCTGCCGCCGTTCTCGGCATCGACAGGGTGCTGCCCCGCAGAGTCCCCGCGAGGGGTCCCCCCCTGCACCCCCGCGTACCTTTGCACAGGACTCGATGGAATTGCAGTCATCAAATGCCTGGCAGAAGATCGTGGCCAGCCTCCTATCCAGATCTTGAATTTTGGTCTCAAAATCAGCGTAGTCGTCATCGAAACTCTGGAAGTGAGTTAGCACGTCAACCTCTTCATCGGCGTGCAAAGCGGGGGGTGTGCGCCCTAAGGCCCCCACGCCTGCTGGCAGGATTCAGGGTGCCGTCTCAGCTGAGCACGCTTACTGTCTGGGGGCTACGACGTGGTTTCCTCCGCCACGTGCGTCCCCGCCACGTGCCCCCCACTCCTGGGGCGTCTGTCGTTGCCCCAGCCAAGGCCCCCGACGTGACTTACTGGATCTCCCGGGTCCAACGGGTCGTATTTGCAGTCGGCAAAAACCTTCACCAGCTCGAAGACCTCTTCGTAGATGTGCATGACCAGGCTCCCCAGGATGTTCCCGCGGGCGCCCCCGAGCTCGATTTTTTCCAGCTTCAGAAACTCGATTGCAGTTTTGTAAAGGTCCTGGTGGAGGGGAGCCCCCGCACACCCGGTCAGGTCACCGTCACGGCCACACGCAAAGCCATGGCCCGCGGGGAGGAGCCAGGGGCCAGCGGCTCTGGGGCCACACGACAGTTGGGGGGAGGGCTCTACTCAATTCCGTTAATGTTCTCTAAAATCGTTTCTGGAACACAGGGAGAGGGGACGGAAGGAAGGGTTCCACGAGTCACCCCCAAGTAAAGAGGGGATCAGGTTGGGCTCTCTCTCTCGTCCTCACCCCCGCCGGCCAAAGTTCTCCTCTAGATCAACCACGGGCCACTGTCGGATGAGGAAGCGGTGGGCACAGAAGCAGCCGAAAGGGCCCCGTGGGGGTGGTTTCCAGGCTCTTGCTCGGCTTCACGCTCTCTGCTTCCTGGGGAGACCACCCCACACCCGGAGCCTGTCCTTGGGGAGGCCTGAGAGGGTGCCCTCCTGTACGAGCTGCCCGATGGATATGCACCTGTCAATTCTACTTCCTCTGGGTGGGAGTCACCACCCCCCCCCGTGGCCTGAGAGGGTGCCCTCCTGTACGAGCTGCCCGACGGATATGCACCTGTCAATTCTACTTCCTCTGGGGTGGGAGTCACCCCCCCCGTGCAGGCCCCCACCCGCTTCCGCGCCGAGCGGCACGTCCCCTGCCAGACTCCCCGTCTGCTCTCTGTGCTCTTCGTTTTAATCCATTTGGGAGCATCGCGCGGTTACCTAACGCTTCTGCGTGGAGTTCTTACTTTCTGATCGGTATCCCAAAGGCTCCTCAAGGACCACGGCAGGGCGTGACACGGCGCCCAGAGCCGGTTAGACCGGAGCCGGCACCGAGGTGGGCACCATTTTCCCAAAGTGTCGCGGAAGCATCGGTTACACCCAAATCCAGGGAAAGCAAGCGCAGGGCCACTGCCCACCCCCAAAGGCCCCCCGCCCCACACCGTTCACCCGGAGTCAGAATCTGCAGCGTGGGAACCGACAGCTGGCCGGCCGGAAGCTTGAAACACTCTGCGACGGAAATCCCGGGGCACTACGTGGGCCCTGCCTCCCCAGAGTATGGACAAGATCCAGACGGGCCTCCCCGAAGCCACCGCTAATGGCTTCCACCATAGAATCAACACTCAGTGGTTCCAGGACCATTTCCTCCCCATTTTTAATGGCGTGAGTAGCATGAGCACCAAGTTAAAAAAGCACAG